ACAGACATGTTCATTAACATGTTATTGAGAAATAAACAAAATATGCATTAAACACATGTTCTGAGAGTCCAGAAGCCACTAAAACAATATTAGTGGTAAATTTTGTTGTTTTTGTGAGTCTTTATAATTATATTTACATGTTAACCAGAGTATGGACAAGGAAAAAAGCTGAGATTTTTATTTTTAAAACTAAGAACTGAAAATGGCTTTAGATAATATGGGGGACATAACAACCTTTATACCTTTTCTATATTCCATAATTTGAATCAACAATTAAAATTCTCAGTTGCCATATCAGTTTAATAAGTAAACAGCTACAAAAGAAGACATTAAAAATACAGTCTTCCAAAACTGTATCAGGAAGAAGCAGAAAACCTAAATAGCCCAACAACAACTGATGAAATTGAAGGAGCAAGCAAAAAATTTCCAGCTAACAAAAGCCCTGGTCCAGAGAACTTCAGAGGGGAATTTTACCAAACATTCAAAGAAGAACTAATACATCTCCTCCTGAAACTATTCCAAAAAGTCCAAGAGGGGGGAACCAAGATGGCGGCATAGGTTAACGCCGAAGTTTGCTGCTTTGAACAACTACTTCAAAAGTGAAACTAAAAGACGGAAGGGACATCACCCAGAACCACAGGAACGCTGGCTGAGTGGAAGTCCTACAACTAGGAGGAAAGAGAAACGCATACGGACACTCAGAGGAGGCGCAGTGCTGAAGTCAAATTCTGAGGTGCGGAGTGCGCAGAGCAGGCTGGCAGCGGAGGGCGCGGTTGGCGTTTTCAATCGGGAGGGAGTCGCAGACTCTGAGCTCCAGAGCCGGGCGAGTCTTTAGGGACCCAGACTCAAACGGGAGAAGCGGGACTGTCTGGCTTCGGTCAGAGCGAGTGCAGCTTTCTCTCCGAGGCTTGCAGCGGTCGCTGGGACTCAGAGAGGCAGAGCCCCTGGGGACAGGACTGAGAGCCGCCATAACTGCTCTCTCCGGCCCACCCTGTTGATCCTGTGCGACCCGCCCCGCCCAAGCCCTGCACACAGGCATTTGCCGGATAGCCTCAGGCAAAGGCTAGATTAGCACCTCCCTAGAGGACAGAAGTTCTCTCACTGCTGACACAGCTGATTCTCATAGCCACTTGGCCTGGAGGTCAAACCCTCTCTGGTATTAGCTACAACAATCAAGGTTTAACTATAAGACTGCGCACAAAGACCACTAGGGGGTGCACCAAGGAAGCATAACAAAATGCGGAGACAAAGAAACAGGACAAAATTGTCAATGGAAGATATAGAGTTCAGAACCACACTTTTAAGGTCTCTCAAGAACTGTTTAGAAGCCGCCGATAAACTTAATGAGATCTACAAGAAAACTAATGAGACCCTCGATGTTATATTGGGGAACCAACTAGAAATTAAGCATACACGGACTGAAATAACGAATATTATACAGACTCCCGACAGCAGACCAGAGGAGCGCAAGAATCAAGTCAATGATTTGAAATTCGAGGAAGCAAAAAACACCCAACCGGAAAAGCAAAATGAAAAAAGAATCCAAAAATGCGAGGATAGTGTAAGGAGCCTCTGGGACAGCTTCAAGCGTACCAACATCAGAATTATAGGGGTGCCAGAAGATGAGAGAGAGCAAGATATTGAAAACCTATTTGAAGAAATAATGACAGAAAACTTCCCCCACCTGGTGAAAGAAATGGACTTACAGGTCCAAGAAGCACGGAGAACCCCAAACAAAAGGAACCCAAAGAGGACCACACCAAGACACATCATAATTAAAATGCCAAGAGCAAAAGATAAAGAGAGAATCTTAAAAACAGCAAGAGAAAGAAACTCAGTTACCTACAAGGGAATACCCATACGACTGTCAGCTGATTTCTCAACAGAAACTTTGCAGGCCAGAAGGGAGTGGCAAGAAATATTCAAAGTGATGAATACCAAGAACCTACAACCAAGATTACTTTATCCAGCAAAGCTATCATTCAGAATTGAAGGTCAGATAAAGAGCTTCACAGATAAGGAAAAGCTAAAGGAGTTCATCACCACCAAACCAGGATTATATGAAATGCTGAAAGGTATCCTTTAAGAAGAGGAAGAGGAAGAAAAAGGTAAAGATACAAATTATGAACAACAAATATGCATCTATCAACAAGTGAATCTAAGAATCAAGTGAATAAATAATCTGATGAACAGAATGAACTGGTGATTATAATAGAATCAGGGACATAGAAAGGGAATGGACTGACTATTCTTGGGGGGGAAAGGGGTGGGGGTGTGGGAGATGCGGGAAGAGACTGGACAAAAATCGTGCACCTGTGGATGAGGACAGTGGGTGGGGAGTGAGGGCGGAGGGTGGGGCGGGAACTGGGAGGAGGGGAGTTATGGGGGGGAAAAAGAGGAACAAATGTAATAATCTGAACAATAAAGATTTAATTAAAAAAAAAAAAAAAGTCCAAGAGGAAGGAACACTTCCAAACTCTTTTTTGGAGGCCAGCATTATCCTAATTCCAAAACCAGATAAACACACTACAAAGAGAATTACAGGCCAATATCCCTGATGAACATAGATGCTAAAATACTCAACAAAAATTAGCAAATCAGATCCAGCAATATAACATATTAAAAAAGATCATATACCATGAGCCAGTGGGATTTATTCTAGGTATACAAGGCTGGTACAATATTTCCAAATCAAAAAACATGACACATCACATAAACTGAAAGATAAACATCACATGATCATATCAATAGCTGCAGAAAACGCATTTGACAAAATTCAACACCCATTTTTTAGAAAAACGTTCAGCAAAGTAAGGAATAAAGGGATCATATCTCAATATAAGAAAGGCCATATATGCAAACCTACAGCCAACATCATACTCAATGGGCAAAAACTAAAACCATTTCCCCTAAGAACAGGAACAAGACAGGGATGTCTGTTTTTATCACTTTTATTCAACGTAGTATTAGAAGTCCTACCATAGTGATCAGACAAAAAGAAAACATAATAGGCATCCAAATTGGAAAGGAGAAAGTAAAACTCTCATTATTCACAAATGACACGATATTATACATAGAAAACCCTAAAGACTCCACCAGAAACTAGATTTAATAAAGTCAACAATGTAGCAGGATACAAAACTAACAGCCAGAAATTGATAGCATTTTTATACACCAATAATGGATCCTCAGAAACAGAAACTAAAAACAAAAATCCAATTTACCAGTGCAACAACAAAAAATTAAGATACTTAGGAATAAACTTAACTAAGGAGTTAAAGACTTATGCTGGGAAAACTATTGGACGTTGAAAAAAGAGATAGAGGGAGATATAAACAATTGGAAGAATATACTGTGTTCATGGATTGGTTCATTAAACTGTCCATACTGCCCAAAGCAATCTATAGATTCAGTGCAATCCCTATTAAAATACCAATGGCATATTTCACAGATCTAGAACAAATCTTTCAAAAATTTATATGGAAACAAAAACAACAACAAAACAAAAACAAAAACAAACAAACCCCTGAACAGCTGCAGCAATCTGGAGAAAGAAAAACAAAGTTGGAGGGATCATAATACCAAATATCAAGTTATACTACAAAGCCACTGTACTCAAAACAGCCTGGTACTGACACAGGAGGCATATAGATCAATGGAACAGAACAGAGACCCCAGAAATTGACCCAAGCTATCATGCTCAATATTTGACAAAGGAAGCAAGAGCATAGAATGGAGTCAAGACAGTCTCTTCAATAAATGGTGTTGGGAAAATTGGACAGATACCTCCAAAAAAACTAAAATAAAACTAGACCACCAATTTACACCATACACAACAGTCAACTCAAAATAGATAAAAGATTTAAATGTAAGTCGTGAAACCATGAAAATCCCAGAAGAAACCGTAGTAAAATCTCAGACATCTCTTGTAACAATATGTTCCCAGATACATCTCCTAGGTCAAAGGAAACTAAGGAGAAAATAAACAAATGGGACTACATCAAAATAACAAGCTTCTGCACAGCAAAAGAAACCATCCACAACGTGAAAAGGGAGCCCACTGTATGGGAGCACATATTTGGCAATGATACATCTGGTAAAGGGTTAATATCCAAACTATATAAGGAACTCATACAACTTAACAAAGAGAAGACAAACAATCCAATTTAAAAAAATGGGCAAAAAACCTAAATAGACACTTCTCCAAAAGGACATACAGATGGCCAAGAGAAATGAAAAAATGCTCAAAGTCACTAATTATCAGAGATATGCAAATCAAAAAACAATGAGGTATCACCTCATACCTGTCAAAATGGCTACCATCAACAAATGACCAGTGCTGGCAAGGATGTGGAGAAAAGGGAACCTTAGTATACTGCTGGTAGGAATGCAGACTGGTGTAGCCATTATGGAAAACAGTATGAAGTTTCCTAAAAAAAATTAAATATGGAACTCCCATTAGACCCAGTGTTCCCACTTTTAGGAATATATCCTAAGAAACCTGAAACACCTATCAGAAAGAATATATGCACCCCTATATTCATAGCAGTGCAATCTACAATAGCTAAGATCTGGAAACAGCCCAAGTGTCCATCAGTAAATGAATGGATAAAAAAGCTTTGGTACATTTACACCACAGAATACTATGCAGCAGTAAAAAAAGAAGAATCTCTTACCCTTTGTAACATCATGGAAGGACCAGGAAAGTATTATGCTAAGCGAAAAAAGCCAGTCAGAGAAAAACAAGTATCACATAATCTCACTCCTATGTGGAATCTAATTAACAAAATAAACTGGTAAAAAGATATAGATCCAGAGACAGAAGCAGAGAACAGACTGATGAATCTCGAAGGGAAGACAGGGGTGGGTGGGTGGTAGGAAGAGATCAACCAAAGAACTTGTAAGCATATATGCATAACCCATGGACACAGGCAATAGTGTAGTGAAGGCTTGGGGTGGGGGGTAGTGGCAGGCTAGAAGGGGTCTATGTTGGGGGAAAGGGGAACATACGTAATACTTTCAACAATAAAGATTTTTTTTAAAAAAGAAGTCATTAAAGAGAACATTTTAGATTATATTCTTATAGCAAAGACCCTGTTTAACAATTCTTTGCATTACTTAGCATTATGTAGTGCTACTAGGCATGGGAAGCTGTGGTTTAAAATGGTCAATTATTTCACTCATATGGAATATAAACCTGAAAGCTACAAATAAACAAACAAATACTCATAGACACAGACAACAGTATGGAGTTTATCAGAAGGAAAGGGGTTAAGGAGGATGTAGAAGGGGTAAAAGCAGTCAAATATATAGAGACAGACAGAGGGTGGTGAAAATACAATGGACTATACAGATGATGTATTATAGAACTGTACACTTGAAACATGTAATTTTATTAATTAATGTCACACCAATACATTCAATAAAATTTTTTAAAAGAGCCTGTGGAGATTTGACTGGGGTGGTGAAAGCACAATACAGTATACAGAATGTATTATAGAATTGTACACTTGAATCCTATATAATTTTGTTAACCAATATCACCCCAATAAATTCAATAAAAATCAAATGAAATGTGTTCACTAAAAAAATAAACAAAAAAATTTAAGAAGAGCTTATGAAGCTGCAAAGTATCATCACTAACTATCCCCCTGGCTAAAGCAACCACTCTCTATTTTGTAAGTGGTATACGTGCAGTTCTTGAGAAGGAATGGCAACCCCTGTCAGCTTTGAATTTGAAAATATGCTTCATCAAATGATCTACATCAGTGATTCTCAAACTGTGGTCCTTAGCACCAGAGAACCTTTTAGAAATGCAAGTTCTGGGGCCCCACCCCAGATCTATAAAATGAGCAACTCTGGGAGTTGGGCCTGTATCTACAGGCATTTCTCGATTTACTGCACTTCACTCCCGTGTGCTCTCTAGATGTTGTGTTTTTTAATAATTGAAGGCAAGACACTCCCTCAACAAAAGAGAATTATGACTTGCCTTCTTGCAGTGCTCTGGAAACAAACCTGCAATTATCTCCAAGGTATACTGGAAGTTTAGCCTTCAGGTGATTCCAATGCATGCTAAAGTTTGAGCACTGATTTACAAGAAACATAAAACTTTGATCCAAACATATTTTGATCTAAAAATAGTTTTAATAGACCTCAATTCTAAAGAACAGAATGAGAGCGTACACAGGATGGGACAAAATTGGGTTTGCAGTTGTTCATATGGAAAATAATACAATGATTAATAAATAATAATACAAGGATAAACTCTGTTTCACGTATTCACAACTCTAAACCCACTTTTGCCTCACCCTGTATTGGCATTTTAAATCTCCAGCATTCTTATATCATACAGGGCTTTGAACTTCTCTGAGTGATTACCTGTTGGCCTAAAACCAGTATTTTAAAAGACCGGGGAAAGAACATTAAAAGCATAAAGAGATCATATTTCTCCCCTCTTAAGTAACTGTGTATTACATTAGCATAGCCCTGGTAGAGAGAACAAAAGTTAGAGGGCAGTGCAGTGGCAGTGGAGTTACAGTTGTGTTCCCAGCTATGAAGTCAGTCTTTGTTTTCTTATTCCAGGTCAGGACCTTTGGAACAATGCTTCTTTGAGCAGGTGTATTAGGCTTTCACAGCACCAGTCAGATGTAAGGGGGGTGGGGGGCCGATAAAGCTTCATAAGTAGAAAATGCCATTCTCTTGAAACAGTGTATTCCTAATAGAAATAGTTTCATCCCTTAAAAAACGAAAGAAGAAAAAAAAAAAAGCTGTGTAACATTTCAGAAGCAACAAAAAACTTTTTAAGTTCATTATATAGAAATTATATGTTGGAGACAGAAAAAAAAAGGGTAGTTTGTCAATGCTAGTGAAATAGGGTTTTATAATATGTAATCACTTTAAACAATTTGATTATAAACTATACTCATTATTTAAGACCAAAATACTACTATAATATGCTTTATTTGTTTTGAGATGTACTTACAGGCCATAGTCAAGTTTAGTGGTAAATATTATAATAGGGTCAATGGTACAGGATACAATTATAAGGACTCCTTATATTTTAAGACAGTTAGTCATAGCACAAAGGAAGAGGAGTCAAGAGTTTCTAAGAAGAGGACATACATGAGAAAGCTGGGTATTTGAATACATTACCAATGAGCAAAATTCAGTAAAGAAATCCTACACATAGGTGATTTTATCCAGACAACTTACAGTAACTATATTATAATTGCAAATAACAGATGAGTTTTTAAAAGCTTGATTACATCTTAATGAATTCTTAAAGACTTCCTTTAGTGCTGCTAGAGTTTTTCTACTGTGCAGCCTCTAACAGCAATAACGTGCTCTTTTCCTATGTGTGCTAAGTGGCTTGCTTGGAAGGACAGTAAATGATGTATTTAATATTAATTAGACCCATGCAGGAGTTTTCAGATCGGCTGTATTAGCAAATAATCCCACTGCAAATAAGTCTTTTGCAAATAAGAATGAGGGTTGAGCAACCTTTCAGTTTTCGCAGTCCCAGAACATCCTCATCTCCACAGTGCTACTTCCTACAGAATGAAATACACAGGAAAATCATCCTCTACTTCCTTCAATGAGGTTGGGAGCTCCAGCTGCTCAGATTAGGACCCCATACACCGTTACTTCTGAAGCTACCCTATGGCATAAACTCTTGCATATTATAGTGTAACACCAGTGTTTTGTCTTGTTATACCTTTCCTCCAGAGCTGGATTTTCTTGGAAACCAATGAAGTTTAAGTTTCAGGGCCCCTCATTTGCAGAGGCCCCCTTTTAAGGTTCTGAAAGAGACTCTAGCAATTTTCTCACGGTCTTATGTTTTGGTAAAATTTGCAAAAGATATTTGAACTACAATTGATTGCAGAGTAGTCATTTTGCTGATTTCCCCTCCTTTGACTTCTCTCTCCTAACAGTTAGCATTGGAGCAGCAGTGAGCAAATTGCGGGTCTGGCCTAGAGAAGATGGGATGAGGATACGTTTAGATTTTGTTTTGATTTAGTGGGATGTGTAAATGTGGCTTGTAGTCTTGTGCGTATGGTTAAGCTATTGCTAGCTGTCCTAGTAGAGAAAGGACATCCAGGAATACTCTTACTGTCTGCTGTACTAAATCACAGGGCCTGAAGTCTTCATATAAACGTGTCCAGTGGTGCCTAGCATCTGAAGTACGTGGGTGGTAAAAGAGAAACAGAACCAGAAGCTGGTCTATGAAACTTTTCTGGGCTCTAAAAAACACATATAAATGTATATATTAACTATTCTAGAGAAGTATGCGAATCATCTTTTGATCACATCTTTAGCGGATATTAGAAATCACTGTCATGTGAAATAACGATTAAAGACTAATGCAAAAATGTAGGAACAAAAAACATCTTAGGGTGCATCAGTTAATTAGTAAAAACACTTCTTTTCCTAGACTTTGTGATTTTTGTTGTATTTGTCACCCCAATTTGTAATTTGTTGTGATTTCTTATTCCATTCTAAATAAATATTCATTGTATATCTAATTTAACATTTAAAATTTTATATTCTTTTTCTTAAAAGAAGTTCCCCCAAACTGAGTAACTTTAAAACCTCTCAAAAATGTGGATCTTCATCTAAAAGGATTTGATGTCTTTCCTGCACAGTAGGTATGGTAGTTTTATCTTTTACCCCTTTTTTCTCAATAAATGCAAGAAAAATCTAATATCAAGGAAAGAAAGAAGAAAAGAAGGGAAAGAAGGGAAGAAAAGGACCCTGTTTATGGGGGTAGGGGGAGGGTGTGTCTCAATATGAGGCAGTGAATCAGATCTTGGAGTCAGACACAGGCAAACGTGGAGTTAAACTCTAGTGCAGCCGTGGGCAAACTACGGCCCTCGGGCCGGATCCGGCCAGTTTGAAATGAATAAAACTAAAAAAACACACAAAAAAACCGTACCCTTTTATGTAATGATGTTTACTTTGAATTTATATTAGTTCATACAAACACTCCATCCATGCTTTTGTTCCGGCCCTCCGGTCCAGTTTAAGAACCCATTGTGGCCCTCGAGTCAAAAAGTTTGCCCACCCCTGCTCTAGTGCCATCATTTATGAGCTGTGTACCACATTCTCTCACCCCTTTAAACCTCAGTTCTTTCATCCCCAAAGTGAGGATAATACCACCAATGAAGATTAAATGACAATGTATGTGAAGAACCTTGCCAAGTGCCTCGCACAGATAAGGCATTGAATAAAACTTTAAAATGCCTTATTCTTGAATGTATAATCCAAATTGTATTTCTTAAAATAGCCTTACTAATATGCTGCCTACAGGATGAACAGCAAAGAAATAATTCCAGCATCCTTCCTGCCCTCTTCACAGTAAATTGGGAGCATTGCAGCATATGTGGAAAGTTCATTTCTTTTTCTGTGAAGGCATGGAATGTCTGTACAGGTGAGAAAATATGTCATCTTCCATTCTGAACAAAAGTTAGCAAATAAAATGTTGCTGACAGACTGTCTAACAAGTGGAATAGGATAGCAAATTTGAGAATCTACATAACAAGTTATACTGAAGTTCTCACACACACACACAAAAAGGGTGTGTATGTTACATTTGAGTTAATAAGCTCATTTCAAAGACAAAGGTTTAGGTATTCATGCATTTACTGACTCTCATGTTTCCAAGGCATCTGAGTACAGTAGATTAAGAAAGTTTAGAAGCAGATAACAGGATTAGAAATCGCTCAGAAGTCAACTCAGGGTTCAGGTGTCTCCCAGGCATGTCTAACACTTCACAGCTGTGATAATATGGGCAAGAAGGCTGGAACACCTTCAGAAGGGACCATGATAAGCAGCAAACTGTCAGCATTAAATGCAGGAAAAAAAGAGCTGAAGGCACAAGAGGGTGATATAAAACAAACAACAAAAAAAAAACAACAGTAGTTAAAAATGCCACAAAATAACCGGAAATGTCTCAGTGTCCCTATTCATCAATGACCGCATAAGTATACATAGTTGTCTGTCCTTATGTGTACAGGTAGTTCAATGGCCAATCAGGCTCAGAAAAGCTAGTTACTGGTGCATAAAGCTTTTCCCCTGAGGTGTTCTCTTCCTCTTTATTTCCCTTCCTTTATGGAAATGCTTAACCAAATCGCCAAAGACATTTGAATCTGTCTTCTTTGACCTTAGATTCCAGAGCAACATGCTCAGATTGTGGAGTACTTACCACTAACCAGACAAAACAAATGAATTCTAACTGATGCACCTGGGCCCTCTCTTTGTTCCTAAGGCGTCTCAATTACCCATCCTTTGTATTGCCCACTGCACTAGAATCTTGGGCTTGGAAGGAGCCTGATAGTTCATTTAATCTCCTTTATTATGATGCAGAAACCATCCCCTGAGACGGGTCACATACCCTGCCCTCTGCAAAAGGTGGCCCATTCCTTTACCTCTCATTTTTAGAAAGCCTATCCTTATTGTTATATCACAACCTCTCCCTGCGTTCTGCCTATTAGTTGTAGTTATTTCCCCTGGAACATCCCAAATGGACCTCCATGTTTCTTCTACAGATTGGCCCTGTGGGTCTTATGAAACACACAAACACATACACAGAAACAATCATGTCTTAAGTCTCTTCCTCACTGAGCCTAACATCCAGAGTCTTTCAAGCACTGCTGTCTCGGGGTAGCATTTGTTAGCCCCCCAACACCCAACACCATCCCCCCACACATACACACACTCTTCTTCCACTTCTCACTGTGTCCCTGCTCATTTCTAGCCAAGACCTTTGTTACAGTTGTCCCCTCAATATCCTCCTTTAGTTAATATCTTACTCTTCCTCCAATCATAACTCAATATTAAGTCCCTTAGGGCAGCCTTTCTGACTTTCCCACTTTAGTCCTGTCTTCCATTATATGCTTTTAAGGCATCTCGTAACTCTCCTTTGCTGTACCTATCCCAGCAGCGATTTTGCATTTATTTGTGGGGCTGAGGCCAGTATGTCCTATATGACTAGCAAAGTACGCATTGAATGGAAAGCACCGAGTACATACAAATTTGTATAATTGGTTCTTGGGGCGTTGGGTGGGGCGGAAGAGTAGCTCCCTAAAGAACCAATTCCACATGACTTGTTTTTTAGAGACTTTATAAAATGGATAACTTCGGTATACTCTCAAGATATAACCAATTCACTTTAAGGAGCTAAAAACTCAACATTTCTTAGACCAAGCTGGAGTGAAATTTTCATCATTTTACCTAGAGACTAAAGCCTGCATTAACAACTCAAAATTCTAGGTAATGTTCTAAATCTCAACATAGCTTTTTTTATTTGGGGGGGGGGGGGCGTAGATGGAGTTATTGATTTTTATATTGTTATTCAGAGAAGGTGTAAGAACCAAAATGAAGAACTAAGTCTCTAAGGTTCAAATTAAAGTCAAAGGTTTATTTAACAACCCAACTTTGAGATTAGCATTCCATTAAGAAACAAAGCAAGAAATAAAAATCCAGGGATCCTGTTTGAACCAGAAAGCTTTTCTTAAGCCACTGAAGAGAAACTTTAGAACCGCCTCAAAACAAAATTTAGCTCTAATCCTTAATTAAATTATAGCTACTGCACATGCTCCCTAGCCCCCAAAACCACTCTCCTCATTTTAAGCAAATTAATCAGAGCAGCTCTTGAGCCATATATGCCTGCTGACTATAGTATGTGGTTTTCACCTCCTATAATAAACACTTGAGTACAGCTCTTTCTGCTCATTGACACTATAAGCATCACAGAGTGGCTACACTATACCTAATTCATTGTTACATCATCATTACTATAAAAATGCTCCTCACACAATATATAGGGGGAAAAACTTGCTTAATAATTGAAGAAATTAAGGAATTCCACAAAACAAGATGACAGGTGACAGATTCTTTTTCTGCATTCAGTTCTGTCCAGGTCAACATTAGTGTCCATATTTATACAAGGACATCAATGGTAACTTGATTGCATAGTCAGATAATAAGAATATAGAGACATAGCAAAAATTTGTGTGGATTAACTTTGTGGGAACATATACCAGTTCAAGGGCCTAATCTATAATAATAAAAGGGTAATATGCTAATAGACTGGACATCATTCCTGACATTTTTCCTGATCAAGCTGGGGCCGGAGAGAAGCCAGCCCTGGTCCTGGGTGTCTCTGCCAGTGGCCGGAAAAGGGAAGCCCAGGTCCCAGGGGCCAGAGGGAAGTCAGTGCCAGCAGCCGGAGGAAGGAAGGCCTACTCTTGCAGGAATTTTCATGCATCAGGCCTCTAGTTCATACATATATGTGTGTGAATATATATATTTTACACGCACCCTGGCACCAAAAACAACTCTCCTCATTTTAAGCAGATTCACTGTTAAACTGTCAAGATATATCAGGTCAGCTCTTAGATGGTATTTCTTGTACAGAAAGAAGTCTTTCTATTCAAGAGAGCAAGGCACCCTCACTGATCCCTCATCTGTGGGACATAGGAAGAAGAGATTCAAGTTGATGAGGCTACTGCAGGGCAATATAAGTTGAGGGACAAGAGCTCCAAATAGAAGGCTCTTCTGTGCCTCAGTCTTTCCCCAAGCTTTTTAAATTTTAAAATTTATCTTTATTTAAATTTTTACTTTTGACACTATTGCAGATGTTCCCCAAGGAGGGTTGCCTGAAGATCAACTTGTCAATAATAAATAAACTCCCAAGTTTCCCCTTTTGAGCTTTTGTGTTAATCAATGGACCTGAGGAGGAGCAGGTTTGGAGAACAGAGCTTGTGAGTTCTCTTTGGACACCTTCAAGTCTCCAACATCCACAAGACATTCAGATGGAGATGTCAAATAGGCAGTTTGATATACAAAGCTAACATGGGCTGCAGTCAGGCTACAGTCTGCCCAGAAGTGGAAAAAATTCTCCCTTCCTTAGTGTCCTACTTGGTAACCCGAGCCTCAGAGAAAGCTATTGGGACTCCAGTACCCAAGAGAATATTGCCTGCAAGTCCTGTTTATTCCCCACAAGCTCAGACATCAACATCTGAGCCAGACTCTGGCTGTTCCGATCCAACCAAGATAAACGAGCTGCAATCATATACCCTTTGAATGTGTTCCATATACCTACCCAGACTCGCCTGAGAACCCATTTAGGCTTGGTGCCCCCAACCATCACCACTACCACTAAAACAGCATTTGACTGATACTGTTCAAACATGTTCATCAAATTTTCCCAACCTTCAGTACCTCTAGTTAGTGACCTTAATCTTCTACCTGGTTAGGAACTTGGCTTTGTGAAAGGCCTGCTATAATAGAGTTTAGGGATGCAAAGGATGAGATATTTGTTCTCAGTTTGATAAATAGCCTGTCCACCCACTGATTGGCACATTGTAATAGGAATGACAACAAAAACTATCAAACCAACCAGCTCTGAGGTCAAACCTTCATGTCTGAATGACACCAAGTGCAAGGAGTGTTTAAAAACATTAAAGAAAAACTTTAAACAAAAATGTATAATGTGGACAAGGTGAGTATAACAATGACCATGACTGGGATGTGTGGGAACTCTACAGGTCTAGTCAAGAAATGGGTAGAGCCTGGCCGGCGTGGCTCAATGATTGAGCGTTGACCTATGAGGTCACAGTTCGATTCCCAGTTAGGACATACCCAGGTTGTGGGTTCAATCCCCAGTATGGGATGTGCAGGAGGCAGCTGATCAATGACTCTCATCATTGATATTTCTCTCTCTCCCTCTCCATTCCTCTCTAAAGTCAATAAAAATATTTTTTAGAAAAAGAAAAAAATGGGTAGAGGCAAGAAAGGAGGCGTTCCATAGGCAATTGGCCTGTGGTGCAGGTCTCTCCTATACCATCCTATGCCAGGTGTCCAGGTGGGCCTGAGGGGACAAAGAAGAAGATACCACCCAGCATCATGTGTGTATGGGCTGTATGTTTGTGAACATGTAACCAAATGGCTTACTACATACATGTGATAAAGGGCCTTATTAGAAGCAGACAGAACATCGTGTGCTTCACTCTTCCCAACAGAATTGGAGAAAGCTTTTTCATGAGCTCATTGAAGCTGAGTCTTGAAGGATGTGGGCAAGGTGTAAGTAAAGGAAGGAATTCTAGGCTAGAGGGAGGAATATATCTGAATGCACAGAAGTGGAGCAGCAGATGGTGTGTCTGGGATCATTTTCTCTAAAGTGTGTGGAACATAACACTGGTGGGAGCAATGATGAATTAGGCGAAGATTTTAAGTGGCATACAGACACTACACTAAATAACAATGAAGTACTTGGAACTGAGAAAGATATCCGTCTTGTAATTCCCTTCTATCCTTGCCCAGGAGAATCTCTCAGTTGGTTAGTAGGATGCTAATCTCTTAAAAGCTAATCTTCCTACTTAACAAAATGGAGCAGGTTTCAGGCTTAGAGGTTTCACAGTTAACAGTATCTAGTTATAATTTAACATTAGGTTGCTTTTATTATAATTATGCTTCTCTTCTATTTAAGGCAAATGAGAGTGGTTTTCCACTGATAGTACTGATATGAAAATTTCTTTCTAAACAAATTTAAATTTTAAGAGTGAGTGATTTTAAATGCAAATACAGAAAGATATTAAGGAATACGTAAATGTGTACAGGTGGTGAACTCTTATGGGAAGAATTATGACGGTGGTATGTGGAAATACTCTCTACAAAAAAATGTTAGTAGTTTGCTGTGATGCTATCACTGCATTATTCAGAGATAAAGCCTGGTAAAATCGATCAAGTTCAAATCTTCCTTCAGTACTTTCTAGCTGAGTGGCCTTAAGGTCTCTAAGTCTCACATCCCTCATCTTTATAAAGAGGATCCATCTTACAGGAGTGTAAGGACTAGAGACAACCAATATCCAGGTCCTAAAATTATAGACATTTTTAACCTCCTTTATAACTTTCCAACAAGCTTTCCAAGGTTAACCATGATTGACTCTGACCTAATTTCTCTAATTTTGTGAGACATTATGTCTGCAGAGCTGTAATTGGTTTCAGAAAAGAATCCACTAGGTCATTTTTCTTTATTTCTCCATTAACCGATGCAAGAAGTTAGGAAAAAAGTACAATGCTCATAGCTATTTTAGGTCACCTCCAATGGTTGTGACCCCACCCAGTCCAAGTCAGAGGATCCACGTTAGATTCTCATGTTCTGAATGCATGTTGCAACATTTTAAAAATAATCTTTAAAAAAAATAAATGATGTGAGCAATATAGCCACATCTCCAAAAACATATAGTACTGAGAAAAGGGAGGATCACTTAATGCACAGTCCACAGTTGAAGCCCCATCCTTTCAGTCCCCTTAGCCCTCCCATGACTCACACCGCTCCTCCTCTCGTAATGAGTCCTGAAGAAGCCTGTGGACATGCACGTATGGAGTGTGGCAGACAACTCTCAGCACCACTGGTTTTCCAAAAGCAAGCACCTGCTGAGACTTGGAAACCAAGAGATGTCCTTGTAATCATGACACCTTGCCTAAATAAGAGCTAAATTGGCTACTAAGGGTAGCCCCCTTAGTGAGCACAGTCTGAGTTTCCAGCTCATGTAGAATCATTAACGCACAGCATAAAAGCAGTTTCCTCTCAAACAGTAGTAATGATTTTCCAAATTATGCATCTACGCCTTGGGGAAACCTGTCATTAGAGGGTTTTCTGTCTGCTGACTTTTGCTCTCACTTCCTGGCATTGTTTTGATAAGTAGGTCACCTCATTCAAATACAGGACACTGCTATTATCTCCCGTGCCGTTTGCAGTTCTAATGACAAGTATGATGCCCAAGCAATTTATGACTCTGGTCTTCACTGTGGCTATACATTTGTCCTTCACCATTGCCATGCTTCTTTCTAAAGGAACCACCAGATTTAATGGCTCAGGGACAGTGGTTTCTTCTAACAATGTGGTATAATTCAGGAGAGCAGTTTTTAGAAAGGCCTCTTTCATAAGTGACAGAATGATATATGTCTCATGACAATGGAATGAATGCATGATTTTTTTAATCCATGATTTTAAAGAAGAAGTGACCAGACAGTCTAACAGTTATTTAAAAAATATTTATACTCCCACATCTAGAGCCTACTACTGGAAATCCTAACTTTTGATTGGTTGAAAAGACTGAAACCTGCAGTCCTCTATCCCCTACCCTCCACCCAAGAAAATGACTAATTACTTCTGAATGACCTTCTCAGCTCATTAGGGATCTGCTTAAAGCTATCATACTTACAGTCTACACAATGTTTTCTGTCTTGCAAGTCCTGGTGACATTCATATAACCATAAATACATACAAGAAGACAATGTATATCTAGGGTCTGATAACTTTTCTTGGTGGAGATGATAATCGTTTTAAAATTTGTATTTGAAGACCTAGAAAAATTTCAAGAAAGCCACCATTTACCTCTGATGGAGTAGTTTAGTCTAGCTATTCAGAAAAAAGAAAAACATGTGGTTTTATTACACAACTGGACCCTAATCTAAGGATCTAAATGTTCCCAGTTCAAATAAATCCTCACGAGCCTGCTTGCTCCTCTGATTGGCAAGTCTGAACAGCCCCACGCGGAAGCCGACCTGCGCCTCTACCCAGGTAAACGAGCAGAGACTAAATCCCCCAGTGACGTAAAAGCAACACCCAAGAGCAAACATCCCGTTCACCTTAAAGATAATATAAAGGAAAGGGTACCTGTTCTTCCGCTCTTTGGTTTTTTCTCAGCACCGAGACATATTTTCTAATCGCATGGAGAGGGTGTTTTTTGAAGTAGGAGAATTTAGATTGAGGCAACAGATTATCCATGACGAGGAAAACAAGAAGGTCCTTGTCTGCCCCTCCCTGTCGACAACCATATGAAATCTAGCTTCACAATTCCACAGATGCCTCAAGATTTGCTGGTAGCACGACCACTTTCCTGCACACAAAGCAGATGTTCTTCTTGCCGCTTCTTCTTTTGGGTAGAGTTCCCGGGGAAACCACGACAGCCAAGTGTGAGCTCCGTCTAAAAGCGTCCAGAAATGCAATGCCCAGAGGGCTGTAGGAGCCAGGAGGAATTTAGGGGCTGGTCCACCGAATGCAAATTGCTTAGTGGTAGTGATGCAACTGTCCTATTTCTAGCACCAGCGTTCTCTTGCAAGCTATGTTAATATTAGCTAGCTGGTGACTTTCCACACCCACGGACTCACAGGAGGTTTAATCTTAATTCTTCTGACAGCTTTTCCAGCTCTTAAAGAGAACGTGACATGTGGTTGCTCCTGCTTCCTTCTAGATTTCATATCATCGTGAGAACACACGGTCAACCCTCGGCTGCATCTCAGCTCAAAAGTGTTGATTCAGTTTTGAGAAGCATTTTTTTTCAGGAGATTTCTTGAAAAAAAATTAACAAGTTACCTCACCCTTCATTGTTATCAAGGAGTTCAATGTCAGCACTGAAAACGTTTAGTTTACACTGTCATGCATTATGCAAGATACACAGTAACCAGATACTTTATGTTAATTGGACAAGAGATGCAAACAGATTCTGCTCTGAGTTAAAAGGCTTCTTGCCTTGAATCCTTATCTCAAATCCACAGGCTGATTCCAGGAACATTAAATTTCCCCAGGCTTTATTCCGAGTGTAGGGAGAAAAAAGTTATACATTGACTTTCTAACTGTTTCAAAAAGAATGCATGCTTTAAAAAGAGAACATGATAAGAGGTCTGTGGCCTTGGAGGACATGAAATCATAAAATTTGAAAGTTCAATATTTTTTTAATACTCTGTACATGTCGTTGGGTTTCTGAACAAAGTCTCCATGCAGGCTTTGCTGTTTTATTATCCTTTTTAACTTTGCAGTGGCTGGTGCATTTGATGGGAACACTTGGCCACTTCTGTGAGGGGCTGTCATGTAGAATCTAGGCCAGGCATCAACGGAAAATCATGAGACGCCGAGATTTGCTTTTAAGTGGACAGAGAGAGCACTGCAGGCAGGAGCGTGGTAAGTAGGTAGAGCTGGGAACCCATGTTGCAGCCCGCGCCATGCCCCTGGGTAACCTCCCTGACACTCCTGGCTGGGCCCGCTGCCTCCAGGGAACACACACTTGATGGGCCTAATGTGGGCTGTGCAGCCTGCAGCCCAGGCCATCTGTCAGGCTGGCATCAGGCCCACTTGCAAGGTGATCTTCCAGGACCAGGCTGGCAATTCCAAGTCATTTATATACTGCTGCTGGGAGGGCTCCTTGGAAGAGGAAGCCCTGCCCTCTTGTCCCCTCTCTTCCTGTCCACCACTACTTGTTTACGGAGGCTCTCACAGCCCTCAGTATTCCAGAGACAGCAGACTCTAAGGAGGGCCAGAGAGAAACACTGGCCTGTAAGTCACTGGAATGCTAAGGGCTCAGTGTTACAGACTCCCTGCCAGCTCGTAGCCCAGGAAAACAAGGAGCTTGGAAATCCGGACACTGGCCAAGTGGAGGCCCTGGAAAGTGGGGTGGCCCTTAGGGCTTTGGGAGTAGGCAAAGGTAGGTAGGTAGATTCCTCGAGGAATCTACCAGCTGCCCTTTTGCTTCTCACTCTTTTTTTTTTTTTTTTTTTTTTTAAATATCTAAACCTTCTAAGATGCCTCTCACGATAGACAGGAGCTGGCAGCCTGCCAAATACCCACAGCACGGCTGGTGATCAAAGCCTTTCCCCAAAGGACAAACACAAAGCAGACTTCATTTCAAACGGTTGCCTCATGATCAAATGGTGTCTCATGATCACCCTTTCCTGGGATGAGGAGTGTGATGAAAAGACATGGGAGGGAGACAAAAAACAAAACAAAACAAAACAAAAAATAAAAAACAGCGCTGTCCTGACTAGATGGAACACAAGAAGGAAAATTGGTAAAATAGATGCAACTAAAATTCCCTTAGATATTTAATTGATAACAAATATAATCATATCTAATATTAACTGGGCTCTGGGCCAGGCACTGGGCTAAATTCTTGACATGTATTATCTCATGTCATCCTATGGCACTCTATGGGGAAACTCAGGCTCAGAGAGGGTAAACCAAATGCCACAGGCACACAGCTGCAAAGCAGAGGAGAAGGGATTCCAACCAGATATAGGCTGACCAGAGTCTCAGTTCCCAGTCTCTTAGCCCACAGCCAGAAATGGATTCCTGGGCAACGCTCAACAGATCCACCTGAAGAAGGAATGGCACGGAGTTTGCCTTGTTAAAGAAAAATACCAACGGAGACTGCTAGGAATTTACAGACTAAAATTATTGAATAGAGACCAGGTGCATCTTCATGAAAAATCATAACAACTTCCTATCCTGGGTTCTTTATAAATAAGGCCAACACTCATTACTTACCTCCCTCTCAAAGGTTCCTTTATGAAATGATTCTAGTGATCTTGACAAGAGGTTGTATTTGTAGACATAGATTTTCTGTTTCCTAAACTTCGAAAGACTACTGTCAGTTTCTGTTTGACATGGGTTACAATGGTTTATTTCTCTCAATTATATATAGAAATATGATGAGACTTTTTAACCAGGCTGTTTATCAGGTGAGAGCACAGCCCTTTGGTGTTCACAGTATGGGCGTCCCTGCCATCTCAGCCTGGAGGAGTGCTGGTTTGATTGCCACTTTGATGCAGTTGCCTTGGTGAAAGCAGCTGGCCAGTCTCCTGATGGCTACAATGTACGCCTGCAAGGGCCAAAAAAGCCCAAAGTGTCTGCCTCAAGTGATAAGAGGCCTATTCTGCACCCTGCAAAGTAACGCAGAAAAGAGTGGAAGTGATTGCCTGCTATTTGTACAATTCACTCCCACCCCTTGTCCTCTATTCAGTAGAAAAATAAGGTCAGAAATCACAGACCAGCAAAGTCACAGATCAAGGCTTCACAGTGAAAGCATATCTGTGTGTTCTCTTTTGATTTCTAAAAATTACCTCCTCTCTCACACATAGCTTAAAATATGGGGAATCCCAATTTCTTCACCCGAAGGACAACATAAAGAGGCCAAACCAAAGCCTGAAAAAATAGTGATGGAGGTGTGTGGGAAAGGAAAATTATTTTCCAGTCTGCGCCTTTGCACACGTTGGACAAGATGGGATGAAAGTGTGGATGTTTGAAGCCATTTAGCACTGTGCACCACACACAGTAGGTATTTCATTAATGAATGCCAAAACACACCTATGAAAGGAGAATGCAAAGAGATATAAATAGGACAATAGGACCCAAGTGTGTAAATTCAGGATGAGAAACAGGAAAGGAAAACAGAAAATGTGTCTCCAGGACGCCTTCCATTTGACAGGTTTCTAAACTGCGTGAGGGCAAACCTAAGACCCCACTAATCCTCCATTCTTTCTCCTCCCAATCAGTGCTCGGGTCCCATCAGGATAATGACTCTGTTCTCTGGGAATTAATCCAGCCCAGCTATAAAGTGAAGGGCAGGCAGTTAGAATGATGGAGAAGCAGCTAGCCCAGAAAACAAAAACCATTTTTTATTATGAATTCCACTGAGAAATCACTCTCATCCCACTAGGTCTGTGGATGTTGGCCCAGTCTCTTGCTCCCCCAGGGACAGTTTTAAATGAAATCAGGAGAGAAGAAAAGGAGGCATTTACCATTGCGCATCAGGACATATTTACGCAGCAGCAACACTGCACATTTTACCCGACTAAAGCACATTAGACAACGTTTTCCTGGTGCCCCCACCACGTAGGTCGTACTTATCTCACATCTGCATACCGTGCAATTTTCCTTTTCCAAAAATCCATGTTCGAAGTCTCCCTATGCCCCCACTACTGCCACAGCTCAACAACTTAGATGTTTCAAATTGCTCTATGAGCTACACAACTCTTTTAAGTTTTCTGCTTTCTGGTTTCAAGCACTGATATCTCAGATTTAACAGTAACTCTGCAACCATAGGACACTTGCCCTCCATTTAGGGAAAAACATTTTTCTGCGTAGTTTAGGCCCAACTTGAACACGCATTTAGAATCACCTGGAAGGCTTGTTAAAGCACAGCTTGCTGGCGCCACCCTAGAGTTTCTGATTCAGTAGGTCTGGGATGAGGAGCGAGATTTTGCTTGTGCAACAACTTCCCTGGTGATAGTGATGCTGATACTGATGGTCTGGGGACCTCACTTCATGGACCACTAGTTTGGGGCGCTGGCAGGTAGGGATGGGACTGTAGAGGGATTTCACAGGTGGCATTTGGGGGAGAGAGTCCCTGTTTGCTGGAGCACCAGGAGAGCTTCCATCCAACCCACATTTCACTCACTCTCCTCCAATAGTTCTGGTTTTCCCTGTCCATCTAGTTTCTTGCAGCCACACTTCCAAGAGGGAGTTCCTGTAGCTCTCAAGCTACAAATGGGCCTCCCACCAAGTTCGGTCTTCGTGATATCAATGTGATATCAGATCGCTCTCAAACCCTGTCACTCAGTGCCTCCTATCAAGTTGCAGGCGCTATCAGTATTCTTTGCTTCAAAGGGAGATCAACCCTTTCTTTAAGCCCAAGGCCAGAAACCATAGCCTGCTCTCCCCAACAGTCCCTCGTCTGGCTCTAGCTCCTTATTCTTTTCCCCAGTGCGGAAGGAGGAATCTCAAACCCGGAACAGGGAACACCAAGAATCCCCCAAATCACAGTCTTCCGCAAGCTTATCCCCAAGCAAAATCTGCTCCTGTCTGTCTTCAGTGCGACTGTGGTTTGGGATGGATCCTTTGCCTTCTTTATCCAGTCTTGTGTTGCTACTCAGGATTTAAGGACAAGCTATTCCTTTAATGGAAACATAAAATGCCCCCAGCACACTTACTGTTTCCGATGGCTTTGGGGGCGGGTCCATGGTGCTGCGTTGCCTTCTCCTCAGGACTGGTTTTTCTTTCGCCTTCTCCTCAGCAATCATGTTCTGCTCTGTCTGAGAGGACTAACACCAAACCCAGAAGAAGGAAGGTATTTTCTTTTAAGGAGGGTAGAGCGGTGGTTCAACCTTGAGGGAATGTGCAAATCGGTGGTCGTGCTACCTATAATTCTGTATGAAAATTAATAAGATGATTTTAGATACAAGGAAAATATATTTTTTTCCCCTTAAGTAAAATGGCTTTGCTGAACTAGGAAGATGGAGGGTGGGATGGGTGGAGCAAGTTAGTATGTTTCCCTCTAATACAGTGGTTCTCAACCTTGGCTGCACATTAGAATCACCTGGGAATCTTTTTAAAATCCTGACATCTGGGCCTCATCCTCCAGAAATTCTGTTTGTTATGGGGTGAGGCCACAACATTAGTAACAAAGAAACAGAATTTCCGGAAGATGAGGCCCAGAAATCAGGATTTTCAAAAGATTCCCAGGTGATTCTAATGTGCAGCCAAGGTTGAGAACCACTGCTCTAATACCTGGTGGTTTGGAAATTAAGGATGTAACTGAAAGCAGGTGTATAATTGGGATCGGGCTGTCTCGGCAGCTGATAGCCCTTGGGATAAAGAAGTGGCCCAACCCCCTTTCTTATTTCTCTCACTCCATTGCCTGGGTGGAAAGTTAAGTGGCCAGAGAGCTCGGTACTGCAGATGATTCTCAAATACTTGTCTTGGGTTCTGGTGAAAAAGCCCAGGTTGGGGGTGTTTATCTGGGTAACTCATGCAACTCACTCTTACATCCCATGAAAACCACCCCCCAGGTTGGGGGTGGTCCAGGGTGGGAGAGTCTGCTAGAGGTAGCAGCTGAAGTTATCTAAACAATGATAATGTGCATTCAGTGTGGGTAGACAAATAGCTTGTCACAGTGAGATTTACAAAGTCATGTTCCTCCATATTATTATCCTGAATTTTTAAAATGCCAAATGTAATTACTCTGTACATCGAAAGCATACGTCTTCCCTCAGTTGGATCACCAAAGGGCATCAATGTTGGTGTAACTCAGACTACACATAGGTACAATAACCTGTGTAATCATTACCAGAAGGTATGTTTGTCTTTACTGGTAACATCTTAGGTGTCAAAGTCAGAGGTACGTGGGGTTGTTTGTTTGTTTGTCTGTCTGTTTTTGCAAGACTGGTTAAGTGTTCTTTAGAGCCTTGCTAATGGTGCAGTCCACAGACCAGCATCATAGCATCACCTGATCCTGGGCACTCATTAGGAATGCAGAAGGCCCCACCCTAGATCTCCTGAATCAGAATTTGCATTTTGACAAGATCTCCAGGTGATTTACTAGTATATGCACATGAAAGTTTGAGAGCCACAGCCTAGGAATGAATTCAGGAGTCAACACACTCTCACTGTACCCCTCATATAACTTGACCTTACCCCTTACCTCTACAAGAGTGGCTGTTTCTTGTCTGTAGCCCCTTGGCTGGAATGTTCTTCATTACCCTCTCAGGGCAGTGGCTGTGTCTTGTCCATTGCTACATCATGTCTCACAGGTGCTCAATAGATTTTTAATGAATGAATGAATGATTATACATGTACTGTAGCATTTGAGTATGCACTACCTTGCGTTTTCCCAGATCTTGTTGGCCTCTGAGTCCAGACATCTAATAACAGTAACAGGCCAAATTGCACTGATTTATGTCTTCATTTGGCCATGTAGGACCTCCTGCTGCTACAAACTGCCACCCAGGTATTTCTGAGAGCTTCTGGATGTATCTCTTGTATAGTTTCAAGTAAATCCTGGCTGGCTGCCTGGTAGGGTCCACTGTTCCCTGTACCTGTTCTGGTCCCCTGACCCTGTCCATCTGTCACTGCTGTTGTCACCTGGTATGTCACTGTGTTCCCACAAGTGATGCTTTGAAGCTCTTGAGGCCCAAAGCATCTTCCAGGATCGTTCTTCATTTAACTCCCTGCTCTCTGTTCCTTCACATTTCGGTCAAGAGCTGCCCTCCCAGGTGCACTATTTGTACATTCTTGGGAGGCTCTTGAACTGCCACTCCCAGGACCCCCTTTCAGTTGTCCCCTGCCCTTCTGTCTTCGTACAATTCAGAGCCCTTACTGTGGGTTCCTTACCTCGCCAACTGCCCTTCTGGATAGGCCCCTTTGACAATGACTCTAGGACAATATTCCTGCATCAGGTTCCACATCTGGGTCTTGGAATTAAATGCCTTTGATCTTCTTTACAATGCCTTTAATAAGTCATATGTGAGTAAAAGGTTCAACAGGGTTGTAAAACATGTTTGGGGTTAAAGCCTTTGAAACTTTTTGTATGATTCTGGTACAGTGCTGCTCGATCTTAAATGCAAGTGCATATAAATCACTTGCATTTCTGACAAGTTCAGGGTGATGTTGACGTTCCATGCACCCCACTTGGATTAGCAAGAATCCAGCACCTGTTTGGAATGCAAAAATCAACACTACTCTAAGCCTCAAAGAGAAAGTTCAATTTTTAATGTGCTGATACATGAGTTTCCCCTACAACATTCATCATAGTTTGCTAGTTTTCTATTCATTTTTTTATTCTTTTTTTTTGTCTTCTCCACTAAGACATAGCTCTGTGAGGACAGGAAGCACATCTATCTTGGTTATAATTTTATTTCTAACATATAGCACAGATAGTATTTGAAAGCTGGGGCACAGAAGAACAAGTAGTGCCCGACTTTGCAGAACAAGTGAGCTGAAGTCTAAAGCAGCAGCATGGAAAGCTGAGAAGAAACCCAATTTACCCTGCAGATTTCCCCAATGGCTCAGAAATTGGCAGACTGAGTAACTCTGGAAGTGAGGGGTGGGGGTGGGGGGTGGAAACAGGAAGGTTGGTTGAAAATCTTGAAGAAGCATTTGGACCACACCCCTCCCCATTCCATTAAGGAGGGGGCTGAAATTTCCTCGAACAAGGAGATCGGAGTTTATCTTTGCTCCTGCTGCTTTGGTTCTTTGGGTTTGTGCTCCCCCCATTTTTAAAGTGAATTGATTGCTATTTGAGAGGACACAAGATGAAGACCATTCCTCCCAGTGTGTGGCTGCTTCCTTTTTCATTTTTTACGTTTCAGCTTAAATACCTCCTTAGAAAAGGTTTCTGTACTATTCTATCTAGAATAGGCCCCCACCCCCCGACTTTTTTCTCACTAGCTGAGTCCTCTCTGGTGTAACTGCTTTGTTGAACACAGGGAACTCATAGGACAATATAAAAAGAAGCATTTTTTTTTTTTTACCACTACTATTTCTCTAAGTGTGACCTGTGAAGTGTGTGTGTGTGTGTGTGTGTGTGTGTGTGTGTGTGTGTGTGTCCTGTGTACCTTCCTCTATACAGAAGTAAACTCTCAGGCAGTTCCCATGGCATTTATAGTTGTTCAAAGGACTTAGAAAACTCCACAGTAACTTTCAGTCATAAACACAGTCTCAATGAAATATTGCCTAGCTTCAGAAAATAAAAGTGTTCATCCTGCCATAGCCATCCGTTTTCTCCCTTCCCTCCCGATGACACTTGCTAGCCGACCACTTGCAGGAGAAGAGTGAGGAGCGCTCCTCTAGCTTGCCTTCCCAGTCTATCATTCCTCCTCCTCCTCCTCCCTAGCTTGCTACCCAGAGATTTCTAAATCTGTTATGGCAAAGGCAGGGGTGGGAGGAGAGGGAATGAGGATAGAAAGTTCTACTTGGCTGGTGCTGCTGTAAGATGATCTCATTCTCTCTGGGCTTGACAGTTGCAGGGGTCCTCAAACTTTTTAAACAGGGGGCCAGTTCACTGTCCCTCAGACCGTTGGAGGGCCGGACTATAGTTTAAAAAAAAACTATGAACAAATTCCTATGCACACAGCGGCGGCAAAAACACCTGGTGGGCCAGATAAATGTTTTCGGCGGGCCGCATGTAGCCCGCAGGCCGTAATTTGAGGACCCCTGGTTTAGAGCTTCCTCTCCCCCTGAAGGTTCTTCATTCATGGAAGCCTTGAGTGCCTGGCTTAAAGTTATCCTCTCACCTGAGGCCTCCCACCACCCTGTAATGCACTTAAACTGTATCAATGTTTTGGCTTCTGGGTTTTCTGACTTGCTTAACAAGACTTCCCTAGCCTTAAAGTCTTAAGAATATTTCTATGTATTTTCTAATGTGCTTTATTTGTTACATTTAGATATTTAAAACTTTTCAATGTTATTTTTATGTATGGTATGTGGAAGACATCTACTCTATTTTCTCACAAATGGAAAGGTGATTTTCATAACCCCATTTATTTTTTCTCCATGGAATTATAATTCTATATTTATCATACAACCAGTTCTAATATATACTTGTTTGTTAGTTTGCTAGGGCTGCCATAACAAAGTATCACAGACTGGGTGTCTTAACAACAGAAATTTATTTTCTCACAGTTCTGGAAGCTGGAAGTCCAGGGCCAAGGTGTCAACAGGGTTGATTTATTTTGAGGCCTCTCCTTTGGCAGGTAGATGGCCTGTAGCTTGATGTGGCCTTTCCCATGTGGTCTTTTATAAGGATACCAGTCATGTTGGATTAGGGCCTATCCTATGATTTCATCATAGCTTAACTACCTATTTAAAGACCTTATCTCTAAATACATTCTGAGGGGTGGGGTTAGGACTTCCACATATGAACTGGAGGGGGAGAGGGAACACAATGTAGGCCATAGAAAACGTAGATCTGTTTTGAGAATTTTTCCATTCCAGTGTTATCATCACAGCTACAAACATATAGAGAACTTGGAAGACAATCTACTATTTAGAAATTAATTTTCTTTTTTTAAATTTTTATCTTTATTGTTGAAAGTATTACAGATGTCCTCACTTCCTTACGTTGATCCCCTTTACCCCGCCACTATCCCCACCAAGACCTTCATGCACTATTGTCTGTGTCCATGGGTTATGCATGTAAGTTCTTTGGTTAATCTCTTCCTGCCCATCCACCCCTTTCCCTCTGAGATTCATCAGTAGTTCAGGTGTTAGGTTCTTTGTAAAACTTTTTCCAACCTCTTCTTTTTCCAAGAAACAGATACCTCCCGTTGTATTTTATTTGAACCTCTATTATAACAATATTCCCTTTATAAAGATCAACTTCTAGCTTCAATTTAGATCACAAGCCCATAGGGCTCAAATAATTAATGTTTTTAAAATGCTAATTATTCATATTTGACATTATTAACAGCAGTCTGATAATGCCTTATGATGCGTCAAACACTGTTCTGTGAGTTTCACTTGCAGTATCTTCTAAGTACCTTGTAAAGTAGGAATAAGGCTCAAAAAATTAAGTTACCCGCCTGAGGACACATAGCATGTAAGTTGGTTACTTATAATTTCAACCCAGTTCTATTTAACTCCAAATCCCAAACTCTTAAGGAAAGTACTGCCTCCATAGCTATTTTATACCCCCCTCCATCTCCAAACAGAAGGCCTGGTGCACAGTAGGCACCTAGTATATGTGCTTATAAAAGGAACTAAGCTGAAGAGCATGCCAGTCAACACTTATGTTGTCATCCTTTCTATTTAAGTCCTGTGACAAGTGAGCTATTTTAGGTCTGGATTATGGTGGTTGAAGTAACAGATATGTGACCAGGGTCCTCCCCATCCCCATAGTACATGGGGCCTGTGCTTCCAAATGATGACTGTCACCTTTTCCTTCTGATGCACTCCCAGTCTTTAATGTAACTCTTGGGCTCAAACCAATTCCATTACAGCTATTTACTTGATGCTACCATTTCTCAGTGTGGCAATTTAATGCCATAAAAATTTCTTATTTAAAGATCATAAATAAAACAACTTTGTGAAAGAGAGTAGCACATAGTCAACTAATGCTACTTATCAGTTATCACTGGAGAATTTATGCAGTGGTTCACCTATGAGCAGTGTACTGTATAGCAATGTATATGATTTGGTGGCTTAGTCAGCTTGGATACTATAACAAAATATCATAAACTAGGTGGCTTAAAGGACAGAAATTTATTTTCTCACAGTTTTAGAGGTTGGGAAATCCAAGATCAAGGAGCCAGAAAAATTGGTTTCTGGTAAGGACTCCCTTCCTGGCCTGTAGACAGCCAATTTCTCACTATGTCCTCACATGGCCTTTCCCTGGTGCATACACACAAAGACAGAAAGCGGAGAGAGAGATTGAGAGTGCTCTGATGTCTCTTCTTAAAAGGACACTAAATCCTATTGGATTAGGGCCCTACTCTTAAGACCTCATTGAGCCTTAATACTTTCTTAGAGGCCCCTTCTCTTTTTTTTAAAATATATTTTATTGATTTTTTACAGAGAGGAAGGGAGAGGGATACAGAGTTAGAAACATCGATGAGAGAAAAACATCGATCAGCTGCTTCTTGCATGCCCCCTACTGGGGATGTGCCCGCAACCCAGGTACATGCCCTTGACCGGAATCGAACCTGGGACCCTTCAGTCCGCAGGCCGACGCTCTATCCGTGAGCCAAACCGGTTAGGGCGAGGTCCCTTCTTGAGGTTATGGCTTCAGCATATGAATTTGGGGGAGGAGAAGGGACATAAACATTCAATTCAGCCTGTAACAATGGGTCAAGTTGACTTAGGATGGAAATAGAGAGTAGACATGTGAAGATCTTAGCACATTTTGAGGCTCAATAAGTGTAACTAGAACAATAAATACTTCTTTGCACCTAAATTGTTTTGTCTTTCATATATGTGAGAATTCACATCTCTATAAAATTTTGAAAAACATTGTCTACTCAGAATTTATTTATAAATGCTTGAGTTTCCTAGATGAAAGATCTCTGTTATTTAATGGTGTAAAAACTTCATCAAAATGAACAAAATGTAATTCTCATCCTAATCCACAGTTGCTTTATTTAAAATGTTTATTTATTTTTAAGTTACTTCCTTGGACTATACCTTCCTTCCTTAACTTTAGTGTTCTCTTTCCTTCCTTAATATTAGTGTTCAGACAGATATAACTCTATCTCCCCAGAGGCTTTTCTTTATAGTTATTAAATTTTTGTTGCTACCGATTTTCCTTTAGCTCTTCATGATTTTTCTTGCTTCAAGGTCCTGTCTAGATCTGACATCCTATGATTCTGAGATGCGCCATGATGGAAGCAATGTTTTAAACTCTAGGTTTGTCAAGCTCAAAAAGCTTATAAGGTCGAAGAGGCAGGAATGGCAACAGAAGTACTGTTATTGCTACTGTTCTGTACAATTGTAAAAGTCGCTCAAAATGACAGCATGGGTTGTGTCCTCTTACTTCATGTAGCTGTAAATTCATAAACAAGTGGTTTTCTAAGACCATGTCAAGGTTTTTCTCTTTTCTAAGGATTTCCCTCCCAAGTTTCTTTGATGGCTTTCTACCAGGCATATCTTAAAACTGACTTTTCCTCCCCTTAACAGCGGTGCTCAACTCTCAGCTTCCAGCTACATTGTTTCTTACAATTGTATCCTTATTAGGAGCTTAACTCTTTTTGTTTTCCAAAGAGGCAGCCTCATAACCCGTCCCTTCAGCTTAACATTTCCAGAGCTGCTCAATTCCCTTCTGTGACTGGGTTTCTTGCTATTGGTGGAGGTGAATATAGTAAGGACTACCATTTGAAATTTAATATGTATCTAACTGGCTATAACATTTGAGTGAAGAATTTCATTTTACTAGCTTTAAACATGTAAGAGATAAAGAACACATTTAGAAACAATTTTACAGGACAGCAGCTTTTCAGAATTATCCTAGCTTAGATTCTCTCTCCCTCTCTATTCCCAAATGCAGAGTTCACCTTGTCTCTAGAAGAAGAGGGGTTGCTGGTGACAGAAGTCATGGTCTGTCTTCCCTTCTGAAAACACAACCAGCTCCATGAGATCACCAAGCAAGATTTAACGCGTTCATGCCTGGGAACCACAATTCCTGATTAGAGCCACAACAAGAAGAAGGTACCTATCCCATTCCCCGCTCCAGGCAAAGTGTGCCAGCTATTAAGTAATTGTCTCTCAACTCCATCCACATTAGTCTATGCTCCACTTAGTGATGCTGGGATTCTATAAACCACTCTTCTTCCTCTTAGGCAGCTGCTCCCCACGAGGCTTTGCCAAAGGAGAATGACTGCAAGTTTGAAGGAATAAAAAGGGATTTGCTCCTTTCGGTTTTGCTTCCTGTTCCTGAGGGTCACACTAGCAATGCTTCTTAGCAGCAGTTTATTTCTAAAAGAGAATCTGAATCTAGCTTGTACTTTTCCCAACACTCTCACACCAGTCTCATTGCCCCTCCCAGAGGTATCAGCACAGCCAGGCAGTGTTCCCTCCTCAAAGGTCTGAATCCCAGCCCCGGGACCCTCCTCTGAGTCTAGAGACCAGAGCACTCCCTGGCTAGTGCCACTCCTCAAAGATCTGGGTCCTAGGTCCTTTCCCCACTTTGCTCTCGGAATGTTTGGTGGGCCCAGACTTCTTGCACTTGCATGCATGGAATTAAAATTCAGGTCATTGTATTTGTATATTAAAGGTAAGGACATCACAAGAAGGCTGGGGAACTGGGGGACATAATTCAGATTATGTGTTGATTACTCCCAAACCTATATCAGTATGCCAGACATCTTTCCTAGGTTTAAATGGAGAGCCTGTATGTACCTCAAACAGAATGTCTAAAATTAAATCATATTCCCCCTTTGCTCAATGAATTTTGACACTATCTACCAGTTCCCTGCAAGAACTATTTTTTTTAACCTTCACAAACAGTCTCCAAGGACTGTCAGTGTATTTCCTAAACATCTCCTATTTTTCATCTCTACTTTACAACCCTATTTCAGATTCACTGAACTCACTGGATTACTGTGAAACCCTCCTAACTTGGTTTTTTTTTTTCTTTCTTCCAGGTTCTTTCACTTTTAATCAATTCTTGCTAGGATGTGTATAGCTTTAAAAAAGATAATAAAACATTACAATTTCCAGAACACAGTTCCAGATCTGTCCAGTGACTCTGAAACACTTTTCTACCACTCCAAGTGATTTAAGGCTCTTGTTTTTATCACTAGTTATGAGCAACTAGATGATGTGTCTTGGTGGTGTTTACTTCATGTTTCCTGTGCAATTTCATTCTCTTGGATCTTGAGTTTATAGTTTCCATAGTTTGGACATTTCTTCTGTCCCCCACAGCCCCCACTTTCAGAGACTTCAATAACATGTACATTTGGCTACTTGAAGTTGCCCCTCAACCCATCGATTCACTTTTTTTCTATTCTTTTTTCTTCCTGTGTTTTACTTTGTATACCTTCTATTGCTATGTCTTCAATTCACTACTCTTTTCTTTTTCCTTGGCTAATCTGTCATTAATCCCATCCAGTGTATTTTTCATCTCAGTTATTATAGTTTTTCTCTCTAGGGGTTCTACTTAGATCTTTTATTATGTTTTTTATATTTTCCATGTCTCTACTTAACATTTTGAAAATATGCAATATAGTTACAATAAATATTTTCCTGTTCTCAGCTTCTAATCTTAATAATTGATGTCAATTCTGAGTTAGTTTCAGTTAATTGATTATTCTCCTCATTATAGGTTATGAATCCTAACATCATAGATAGTTGTGTCTGCTTTTGTGAAACTTACACAAATCTCATCATACCGCATATTTTTTTGTATATTTCTAACATTATGTTTGTGAGATTCATCCTTATGGTTTTGTGTAGTTGTAGCTTGTCTATTCTGATAGGAATAGTAAAGCATTGCATTTTGTAAATCTATATTGTATTTAACCTTTTGTGTCAGAGGTCACCAAGACCACACTCAGGTTCAGTGATTGGCAAGAAAGACTTACAGAACTTGGAAAAGCTGTCGTATGGTTAAACTTTATTATAATGAAAGGATACAGACTGAAATTAACAAAGGGAAAAGTTGCATAGGCCCGAGTCCAGAGGAAACTAGGCACAAGCTTCTAGTTGTCTTCTCCCAGTGGAGTTGCATGGATGGTGCTCAATTTTTCCAGCAAGTCCGTGTAACAGTGTGTGCAAAGTGTTGTCAATCAGGGCAGCCATGCAAGCCTTGGTGTCCTGGGTTTGCTTGCTTTTTTTGTTTGTTTTACTTTCTTTTTCTTTTTTGAGGTCAGTCATGTGGGTACTGCGTATGCCCATATGAATGACCTCAGCTACTCAATCTCCACGCCCTCATCGGTCAAACTGACACATCAGGCTCAAAGGCTCAAGCATACAAAAAGAGGTAATCACATAGATGTCATTACCAGCTTAAGCTAACTGGCATAGTCCATGGCTTTAGGAGTACAAAAACACTCTTTTCAGGCAGACTATCCCAAGGGCTCAGAGATCCTCTCCCAGGATCTATGCCAAGGACTAGTCCTGAAGACTTTGGGAATGTGCAGGGTGTAAGTACGCCAGGCTTGCAGAGTTAACCCTTTCTCACACAGATGGGCATTTGGGCAGTTTACTTTTTATTCATATGAATAGTCCTTCTGTGAACATTCTTGTATATTTTTTTGGTGAAGATTTGGGTGCATATATTGGGTACTTAGGAATAAAATGGTGGATCCTAGGATATGCATTTGTCCTGTTTTCATGGAGAATGCCAAATCATTTACCCAAGTGACTACACCAGTTTATATTCCCAGCATCAGTGTACAGACATTTTCAATATCCCCTTTAAAAACACAGTTTTAGTGAGGTACACATGACATACAATAAAGTACATATTAAAGTTCATATTGATAAATTTTGACAAATGTATACATCTGTAACATTACTACCACAAGCAAGATAGTGAACCTTCATACCTAAAAGTTTCCTTGTAATCCCAATATTCTCCTAATGAATTTGTTTCCTGTTTAAATCAGGCAGAGTTGTTTTCTGTTGTTTACAACTGAGACTTCCTAGCTGATATAATCCCATCTTGTATTTATGTTGCACTCACGCCCAGCTTGGTCTGCATTTCTTTCCACTTAAGTAGATTCTTGCTGAGCATCTAGGATGTCTGCTAGGCACGTAGCCACTGACCTTTGCCTATGTAAGTTAGTTTGGCTGGATTCCAGATTGCAGCTTTATCCTCAGGACTCTTAGGAATTCCACACATCTTTTTATCCCTGGTCTTTGCACACTGTTCTTCTTGAACTGTTCTATAGCTCCTGGTCCCACTCCTTCCTGGTTGGCCCGGAACCAAACTTCCCTACGTCCATCTCCAACAGGGGGTTTCCTAGATGGTAAGAGAAAGGGCCCCTCAACGCTTCACTAAGTTTCATAAGCCAGATTTATGACCTCAAAAGGTATGTTGGATGAAATTCAGCAATAAATTTGATGCAAAACCAATGTGATGTGTCAAAGGTCCTTTAGAATTTGCTGCAGGCTGAGAATTATATTTTCCCATTTTAGTGATATGGAAGGATATAGAAGAAAAAAAAGATATGTTGGAGCCGAACCGGTTTGGCTCAGTGGATAGAGCATCGGCCTGTGGACTCAAGGGTCCCAGGTTCGATTCCGGTCAAGGGCATGTACCTTGGTTGTGGGCACATCCCCACTGGGGGGCGTGCAGGATGCAGCTGGTCGATCTCTCTCATTGATATTTCTAATTCTCTATCCCTCTCCCTTCTTCTCTGTAAAAAATCAATAAAATATATTTAAAAAATATATATATTGGAGTCCTAACTCCCAGTACCTCTCCTTATTTGGAGATAGGGTCTTTATAGAGGTAATCAAGTTAAAATGTGATCATTAAGGGTCAGCCCTAATCCAATACTATCTTGAAAAGGGGGGAAATTTGGACACAGAGACAGACACAAAGAGAGGGAAGATGATTCAAAGAGACACAGGGAGAAGATGGCCGTGTACAAGCCCGGGAGAGGGTCCTGAAACAGACTCTTTCCTCACAGCCCTGAAGAGGAATCAACTCTGCAGACACCTTGATCTTAGACTTCTAACCTTTAGAACTGTGAGGCAGTGCATTTCTGTTCAAGCCACTCAGTTTGTGGTGCTTTGTTATGGCCGCACTAGCAAACTAATACAACCAGGTAGAGTGCACCAGCTTTTCCTAACCATTTCCAGATCATAGGATGCACAACAGAGGTTAGAGGGTACTGGCTGCTCTTTTGGAAATTTTTATAACTGTCTGTTATAAAAATTGAGGCTGGGGAGAGTGAATTTGGGAGGAGCAAACTAACCCCAGATTATTTGACTTTGGCCACTCATGAGACCCTGAACACGACTTGGCTACATCACAAAGTTCTGTATTCCTTGTTCTTTTCTCTCTGTTTTCTTAAATGGATAAGCATGATTCATTTTTCAACAGCCATCTGTGGGAACACATGGATTCCTTTAGAGACTGCTAAGATCTGTTCCACAGTCGGGGGGGAGGGGGGAGCAATATGGGAATGTTTTTCTCTAAAGTCCTTTTCATGGGAACTTTTCCAAAACCAGAAGATTAATACAGTTTTGAAAAAGGCAGGTATAGCATGTCTTTAAAAGCTCCTCGAAATATTCTCATCACCTTAAACCAGGTCATCTGACAGGTTACCATCAAAGAACCTGACTTCCAGCCGAGTCCCTGGAAGGGACTGGATTTTGCTTTACTTACAAAATCTGTGAAGTTCCAGAACTCCTATTTGTCTTCATGGTCAAACTTTTGATTAAAGAGGAAAGAAGCAGGGAGAAAGAGAATGACATAAACAGACAGTACATGGGAAATATTAAATGTATTCAGAGCAAATGATTCATTGCCCTTCCCGTTGAACCTGGCAATAATGAATATAACAAATGTGTCCCTGAGGAGCTTCTTTTCTATTTCAAGCCCTTTCTTAGGCTATTTTCACCCTTCAATCTTCACTTCTTTTTTGGTCGTTAGGTATGGATTTGAATATATTTCAGCAAAGCTGCATAAATGACCCATTTGGTTGAGCCTCAGGGAGTCAGATTCCGAGAACTGCTTAGAAGTGAGCATAGTGACATCCCCTCAGGACCTTGTTCTGGTGCCCTTAATGAGTACCTTGGTTTGCTGGAGATCAAAGATCCCTTTCTGCATCGCTGGCCCAACCCCCTTTGCTTCAAGCTAGTGTCACTGCTCTGCCTACAGAGGTTGCTTTTTCTTCTTTTAAAATTGACATAAAATTCACATAAAATAAAAATCATCATTTTATCATTTTTAAAGTATACATTTCAGTGGCTTTTAGCATGTGCATAATGCTGTGCAACTATCAACACCAATTCCAGGACATTTTCATCACCCCCAAAAGAAACCTTGCACCCATTTTCTGTCACTCCCAATTTCTCCATCCCCTCTAGGCCCCAACAGCACTAATCTACTTTCTACTCCTGTGGATTTGCCTCTTCTGGACATTTCATATAAATAGAATCATACAATATATGAACATTGTGTCTGTCTTCTTTCACTGAGCCTGTTTTCAAGGTTCATCCATGTTGCAACATGTGTCTGTGCTTTATTTCCTTTTATTACCAAATAATGTTCTCTTGTATAGATATACCACATTTTTGTTTATCTGTTCATCAGTTGATGAACATTGGGTTGTTTCTACTTTTTGGATATTATGAATAATACTGCTATGAACATTCACAAACAAGTTTCTGTGTGGATATTTGTTTTCAACTCTCTTGACTGTATACTAGGGAGTAGAATTGCTGGATCATACGGTAACTTTAGGTTGAATTCCTGGAGGAACTGCCAAATGTTTTTACAGAGTCTATTTTTTTTTTCAAGGAGAATAGAGTTAAAATTGATTTTAGGCGCAATGTTTTTGAGGGGCAGATGAACTATCACAGAGAAATGCCCACCATGAAGTTGAAGATGCAAGAATGGTGCCTGAGATACCAAAATTGATTATTTCAATTTGGGCATTATCTAAATGCAGTGATTGTTAAAGCTGCAGGGAGATGAGGTCTCTGAGGCTGGTAACACATGGAAAGAAGGGAATATGAGAGGCCTATGATACCTATGATAAACCAAGCATTGTCTAGGATTGTGCTTTATGTGTGCTGTCAATGTAATCATCACAATATAAGTGGGTGCTATCATTAGCCCCATTTTATAGATGGGGCAACTGAGGCTCGCTGAGGTGAAACATATAGACTGATTTGCAAGCTTGTATACTATAGCAAAGCCAGGCTTTAAATGCTGGTAAAGACCTGAAAGAATTTTAGGGATTAGAGATAGGTTTTTAAAAAGAGAGTACCATTAAGTGCAATAGGATAGTATAAGTGACATATAGTGTTCCAGAATAAACAAGAGGGGTTTTTGTTGGGCTTTTTTTGTTTGTTTTGTTTTTGTTGTTTTAGAAGAAGGTTGTCAATTATGCGAAGGAGTCAAGTAAACACAAAGCATCTGTGT